TGCTGAGGCCCTGCTCCTGGGGGATGCTGAGGTCCTGCTCCTGGGGGATGCTGAGGCCCTGCTCCTGGGGGATGCTGAGGCCCTGCTCCTGGGGGGGGATGCTGAGGCCCTGCTCCTGAGGGATGCTGAGGCCCTGCTCCTGGGGGGGATGCTGAGGCCCTGCTCCTGGGGGATGCTGAGGTCCTGCTCCTGGAGGGGGGATGCTGAGGCCCTGCTCCTGGGGGGGCGGATGCTGAGGCTCTTGGAGCCAAGCATCTGCCCATGAGCTGTCACATCCACTTGTAGAAACACAGAGACAGAAAACAGCCGCCCTGACCCACCTTCCCTTTGGACGGGAAATTGACAGCCCCTGTCTTAGAGCAGGAAGCTTTGTTTGGACTTGAATGTGGTGCTGTGAAAAAAATATGCCAAGAGCCCTGTGACGAGTCTCCCTCTTGTTCCAGATGCATCCTGGTTGTCGTGAACCCAGTGTCAAAAGGAATCTTTTTTTTTTTTAATCATTTGGGAACTTTGGTCTTTAAAAAGCTCTAATCTGTTTTGTTCTCAGCTATTATATGTGTTATGTATCTGTTGTATGAAAAGCTCTTGTCAATACTATGATTCTAAATGCAGCATTCTGTTCAGAATGGTGTGAAGAAATAATACAGACCGCAAATGGTAGATAGCCAGTGTGATTCTGTAACTGTGAGACTATTTCAAAATCTCTACGAGTTGTTGCCTCCTCGTAGAAAAACAACAGAAATAACTTAGTTGTATTATGACATTAAGGCATTGCTTTTAAACTAAATTTTAAACTGATGAGGTAATTGCACCCTTGAGATTACTTTGAAAAATGACAGAGCATCTTCCTGTCTGCTGTGGCTCTGAGTGACCTCGATTCTTCCTGCACAGCGGCTGCCTGCAAAGGTGACCTTTGCTTTTTCTCATCCTGAGGCAGTGTGCACCATAGCAGCCCTCTGTTCTTGTTTCTGCTCTTGTTTAATACTTCTAAGTGCCCACAGATGCTAACGAGAGACCTACAAAAGCAGGTCCCTGCCCTATACAGGTCTGATTGTTAGAAGGACAGTCTCCTCCCCACACATACAAAGGGAGACTGCACAGGTGCACAGGTCCTCATGATGCAGTGCATCAAAACATGGGGACCATAACAGCTGCTTTGCTGCCTGATCCTGGGACAGTCGACCTAGCAACTTGGGGTGTCCATGGTCTCTGCAACCAGGGAGGGAAGAAGCAGCCGCTTTCCATGTGTTGGGAGTGCAGTAAGCACTTGGGCTCTGCAACCAAGTGCAGAGAGAGAATTTCATGTATCACTATTGTGAGTCTTCAGAATGTTTGGTGATGAGTCTGTGTGACTAGTAACTCTGTCTGGGCCTGTGGTTACTCATAGACTGTTGAACACATCCCCCGGGTCCTCCCCACCCCAGAAAACACCTTGGCGTTTTCAGTGTTCTGGTATAACTATTGTAATTTTCCTGGTTTACATCTGCAGAGGTCTGGGGGCAAGGGGTGTCGCCGGGGGTAGAGCGTGGGTCCAGGATTCCTTAGGGTAGAAAGGGGACATGATTAAGTGATTCAGATACTGTGTTGCTTAGTAATTATTTTTGACAATAATAGGTACTCTCAGAATCAGTTTGCTTCTAAACAAAATTGAATCCCTCAGCTTGAAAGCGTGAAGATCTTCTGTGCTGTCCTGTCTGGTGTGATTCACTGACGGCTCCCTTGGTTAGGGATTCCCGTTTCTCAAGTAGAAACCTCTGTTGCTTTCTGGTTTCACCCCCGCAGGAGTTTCAGAAGTCCCTTGGTGCCAAGCACTCGGTCTATGATACCACCAACCGCACCGGACGCTCCCTGAAGGAGAAAACTTCCCTGGCTGATGACACCCTGAAACTGGACAACATGCTCAGTGAGCTCCGGGACAAGTGGGACACCATCTGTGGGAAATCCGTGGAGAGGTGCGTGGCTGCCGGCCTTCCGTAGATGGGGGGAGTGCTTCTGAGGAACCTCCTGGGGACCTTAACTACTGCCTTTGCCTGGGACGCCCCAGCCCTACCTCCCACCTCCCACCCTGCACCAGGAGCATTGCCCTGCGGCCGTTACATACTGTAAACCACGCATCTCCCAGCTCTGTCAGACGCCGCCCTGCGTGGCCCGCCCTTTCCCCAGTGCCTCTCATGTAGATCTTCTCATTTCTCTGCCCCTGACGGTTCCACTGTCAAAATCTTGCATCCTCTTTATAATGCCTGAAATTATTTTCACTTAGGACATTTTTACAAAACAAACAGAAAAATCTAGTGATGGCATACGTCAACCCCCCGTCTGACCCCATTTTGTAGAAATTGGGGTGAGTGACCAGGAAGAGATGTCCCGGGCAGATGGCGTTGACTTTGGGGATGCATGCATGAATCCACACACACTTACTTTCACAGAACCAGTGGCACACTAAACCCTGTCAGGACGGGGCGGGAGGCCTGGCCCAGCAGCAGAGCACCCCACAAGTGTGAAGCCCTGAGTTCACACCACAATGCCTACAGTCAAGTTTGAGTCTGATCACTTAAAACTGTTTCAAGTGAACTTTTGAGAAGCAGAAAAAAAAAACATTTTTTAAAATGAGGAAACTTGAAGAATCTATGATTTCCCAGGTTGGTACACCAATCTGGCCTGTAAATAGATTGTGTACATTCTATAGTAAAACAGAAAGCCTGAGACACTGAGCAGAGAAATGTGATGATGGCTAATATCAATGTATTGTTTTTATTCCACTCAGTGTACACAAACTTTAGTAAGCAGAGATTGAAGCTTTTCTGTGACCAAGACTCCTTTTTCTACTTTGTTCACTCCAGACAAAACAAGCTGGAAGAGGCGCTGCTGTTTTCTGGACAGTTCACAGACGCACTGCAGGCCCTCATTGATTGGCTGTACAGAGTGGAGCCCCAGCTGGCCGAGGACCAGCCTGTCCATGGAGACCTGGATTTAGTGATGAATCTGATGGATAATCACAAGGTAGTATCGTCTGGGACGTCTGTCTCGTCGTGTTGGTGGGTTATTCTGAATACAGAAGGCTCTGCAGGCTAGCGCAGGACACGGTGTGCTCCATCAGCATCTTCAGGGCTGGACTAAGTCTGCCTTCAGCAGAGCCAGGAGACCAAACCTGAACAAGGAGGGGAAATTGTTCAGTGTATCAGTGAGTTTCCTGGCTTGGGAAATGCCATAGCTATAACCTTTTGAGATCTTGAAATGAGATTTCTTTCCTTGGTGCTTTAAAACATGTTTCAAGAAAGTGTTACTGCCTTTATTTTCTAGACAATTAACATGATATGTCTTAAAACCAATGTGCAGTGGCCTTAGAACTAGGTTGTGTGTAAGAATATGAATCCAGGGGTATGAGCCCGGCTTGTTATTAGGTGCTCTTGTATTTGGAAACAATTTTAACCTTGACCCCTGACCCTTGAGCAATCTGTGAGTCAATAGCCTGGGCTATGAGGGACTTACTGTGTATTTATTGCAAGAAAAAAGGCTTTCCTCATTAAAGCATCATACAAATCAAAGATTTGCTGTGGTGTCCAGCACTAAGTGTGACGCCCTGGAGTAGGACCAGCCAATACCACGTGGCTTTACAGAGCATGTCCACAGCTAACAGCGCACCAGAGTTGACCATCTCTCCATCCTCTGCCTGAATGTGCTTCGTTCCTGTGACTTTTAGCCCCCCCGCCCCCCGCAATTGATTTCACTTGACAATATTTTCTTCATACTTTACTAGTTCTGCTTTTTTTCACCTACCTGGTCTTTTTTAAAAATATTTTTTAGGGGCTGGGAAGGTGGCTCAGTGGTAGAGCGCTTGCCTTGCATGCTCAAGACCCTGGGTTCGATTCCTCAGCACCACATAAGCAAACAGAAAAAAGCCGGAAGTGGCGCTGTGACTCAAGTGGTAGAGCGCTAGCCTTGAGCTGAAGAGCTGAGGGACAGCGCCCAGGCCCAGAGTTCAGGCCCCACGACCGGACCCAAAAAAATATATATATATATATATATTTTAAATTTTTTGTTGGCCATGGGGCTTGGACTGGGCCTATATGCTGTTCCTGAGCTCTTTTGCTCAAGGCAAGCACTCTACCACTTGAACCACAGAGCCACTTCTGGTTTCTGGTGATTAAGTGGAAATAAGAGTCTCACAGACTTTCTTGCCCTGGGATCCTCAGATCTTACCCTCCTGATTAGTTAGCAAGGATTACAGCCACCAGTGCCCACCTCTAGACTTTCTTAAATAGTTGGACTTTTGTACATTTCTTTCCTCCTTTCTCTTTTTGGCTGTGTTTACACTACAAAAAAAGTTAAGTGTTCTTCAACATTGGCAGAAAGTAAAATAAAGAACATTGACTAGGCCCGTATGAATTACTTTTTTTAAGTGCCTCGCCTTGCTTATAATGAAACAAATGTTTTTGTGCATGATGAATTCAAACTCTCCCATTTCCAGCTTTCAATGACTAATGAGCACTGAAATGTTACTCTTTACTTAGACACCATCTTTATAAGCTCACTGTCGAAATATTTACTGCCCCAGGCATTTGCCAGATTTTTTATATACTACAGCCATCAAGAATGAATTAATCCATGAGCATTAGTAATGATTGGAAGGCTGAAGAAGTATACAAACTACATTGGAAAGTATTCAGACTATTGGATGAGTCTAATCACAAATAGATAGACTGTAGATATTGTACCTCATGTGTGTGTGTGTGTGTGTGTGTGTGTGTGTGTGTGTGTGTGTCCGTCCCTGTCTGTGTGTTTATAGTCACGTCTCACTTAACAATGTTAGAATGAAATGAAAGAATTCACCACACCTTCAGTTAGTTTGGATGAGCTTACTTTTGTAATGCTTTCTTAAAAAGCAAAATAACTTTATTCTACATAGAAATTGGTTGTTTGAACATCTCATTTTACGTGTAGCATCTTGGAGCAGAAATGAACCCTGGGCTCCCTTCCAGGAAATCTGTGGCCAAAAGGGCTGAATTTAGCCCTTGGCCTTGGCACATCCCTGCTCATAAAATTTGTGCAGAGAGAACAGAGCCCCAAAGCTGTGACACTGAGATAACATATAGGGATTTGGTATTTGAAATCTGTGTTAAAATTCAAAATGAAGCTGGGTGTTGGTGGCTCACATCTGTAATCCTAGCTATTCAGGAAGTAGAGATCTGAGAATAATAGTTCAAAGCCAGCCAGGGTAAGAAAGTCAATTAAAATCTTATCTCCTATTAACCACCAAAAAGTCAGAACTGGAGCTGTGCCTCAAGTGGTATAGTACTGGCCTTGAGTGAAAAAGCTAAGGGACAGTGCCTAGGCCCTGAGTTCAAGCTCCAGAACTCTCCCCTCCACCCATTGCAGTGAGTTAACACCCAGGAATTTATGGAGACAAAAACATCCTCCAAAGAACAGTATTTCAGGTCAGCTTTGCTCCTCTGGGGCCCAGCATCTCCAGACAGACTCCATGTTGGTGCCAGGGACACGTGGCCAGCCCGCCACCTTCCTGGGCCTCTGGAGCCATGTGGCTGCAGTACTGGTGTGCCGCAGCAGCCACCTGAGAGGACTGAGAGACTGCAGGCAACAGAGGCATCAGGCACCCCGGCGTGTGTCCACGCGGCGTTGAATGAAGCATCAGGCGCCCCGGCGTGTGTCCATGTGGCATTGAGATGAAGGCTTGCCACCACGTTCAACTCCAGAGTGACATTTAAAAATAAGGAATTCCTCTTGGGAGTGTTACAGAATTGCACGGATTTGCACAAGACTGTTTGTTCCCCTGATGTTCAAGTGGGAGCCAAGGCACCCTGCCCCCTCCAAAGCATCTACCCAGAGGAGGGTCTTTAAACTACTATTTTTAGATGTGTGTGTGTGTGTGTGTGTGTGATGCTTTATAAATTTATATTTTGAACAGTACATTTTGCTGTTTTGGTTTTAGAGTGCCAAGTTTATTTTTCAAACTCTGGTCTTGTTAGGTCTTCCAGAAAGAGCTGGGGAAGAGAGCCAGCAGTGTGCAGGCGCTCAAGCGCTCAGCCCGGGAGCTGGTGGAAGGCAGTCGGGACGATGCATCGTGGGTCAAGGCACAGATGCAGGAGCTGGGCGCGCGCTGGGACTCGGTGTGCGCGCTGTCTGTCTCCAAGCAGACGCGCCTGGAGGCGGCCCTGCGCCAGGTGAGTCCTGCGAGTCGAGCTGCAGCCCCGCAGAGGGGCTCTGAGGCTCTGGCAGAAGTGTGGGGGTCCTTGGGTCTCCACCACTCCCCCAACCCCCTCAAGAAGCTAGGTGCCCCCAAGGAGGTTTGTGCTGAGACCCAGGTTGTTGAGTACATGAGACGTTTCCTTCTGCCTCTAAAATGCTGCCCCATCGCTTCAGTGTTGACTTGAGCCTTATGGAAACTCACATGGCACACACCCTAACACTTGGGGGTGATGGTGAGCGGCACAGCAGCTGGGTCACTGGCCGCCGCCCTAAAGGCGGAGTGTTGAGTGAAGACATTGGAAGTAAGCGTCAGCCTTTGAGTTATTTCGGTGACTTCCTATAAAAGTGAAGCCTTCTTGCCGAGAATACATATTTAATTCATCAGTTACCTGCTACATAAGTGAAGATAATGACTAAAAGCTGTAGCCTTCAAGTGAGCCTCTCACCGGCTCTGTGGGGTTTTGTAGACTAATTCACTTCATTAAGTCCTGGTTATCTCAACCAAAAGTGGGAATTATATTGGCTTCTGCTCACAAATTTATTTAAGGAAATGGTGCATGAGAAACACAAAGCATCATGTCATCTTAATAGGAGTAGCGTCCATCATTTAAATTTTCAGACTTTTAGTTATTGAAGAGAGAATCTGTTCCTGTGACTTTTACTAACAAGCATATTTGGGAATCTGTGTGTGTGTGTGTGTGTGTGTGTGCACGTACATTAGGCAGAAGAGTTCCACTCTGTGGTCCACGCGCTCCTGGAGTGGCTGGCCGAGGCCGAGCAGACCCTGCGCTTCCACGGCATTCTCCCAGATGATGAAGATGCTCTCCGGACTCTCATGGACCAGCACAAAGTGAGTGATCCCTGCAAATGCCACATGGAGGAAAGAGGTCTGCAGCTCCAACTATCAGATCGCACAGGCTTTTCCTCTGGTCCCACCTCTGATGCAGCTGAGGTTGTGTCCGTGCCATGGTCCCGTGGCCTTCTTGGGAAGATGGTAGTCTAGAATTAGTCAGGTTCATATCCAGGAAACACATCAATTTTTCTATAGCGTTGTTTGGCTTTTGACCAACATCATCCCATTTTGTTGCTCTTTTATGTGGATCTTGAAATGAGTAGTTTGGCCTTTAAAAAAATCATACCAGTAGAATTATAAATTAATAAATTCGATCTTTATAGGCAGCCCAAACAAGTAATTTAATAAAATTTAGAACAATGTTATTTCTAAGCCTTTGCCAGTTCTGCTTTTAATCAAGAACCTTTTTTTTTGCATTTTATTGATAGTCTATATTTTAAATCTACAGTATGACATCTTACATAGGAAAAAAGCTTCTTTCTAAAAGAACTATTATCAGACCGACTTTTTAAAATGACCTTTCAAGATCTTGTTTTGCATTAAACAAGTTTTTTTTAAGCAGGTGTAAAGCACTGTACAAAAACAAGGAAAATTGATACATTCTTAAATTTGACTACAGGGCTTCCTTACCAGGAGTTTTGTTGGATATATTTTGTAGAAGGGTGTTGTGTTCACGTTTAAATTGAAAGAAAATGAGAAACCAGATAAAGCAGACTTATTTTGTGCTCTGATTTTTAATCAAGAACCTTTTAAATCCCTTTCTAGAACTTCCTATAATATAAACTGAAAATGAGGATCCCATAGGAGATAGCGTAGATTTAACTTTCCAAGTTGAGAATCCAGCTGGTGAGTTTTCAAGCTCAGGCCTTTCTCCGGCAGTGTCTAGAACTTGGCAAAGCCCTTAAATTTGTTTCATCCACGCAGCTCTGAACAGATGTATCTCAACCTTTGACTTGAAAACTCAGGAGTTTACGGTGCCAGCACTCCATTTAATGTTGATGTCAGCATTCCTATTAACTTTAAAGAATCTTGTTAACACCACTGAATAACCTTGCCTTTCCAGGTCAGGATAGAAATGCATCATTTATTCTAAGCATGCATTACATCATCTATAGGGCGTCTTGTCTTAACACTTCCTTGTTGTTAACAGAAGTCATACAGGTCACAGAACATCATTTCTAGAACACAGTGCTACCTAAAGCTTTACATTTGAAGCTAGACAAGAAGAGTGTGTTAAATTTGCAGTACACTTTATTTTGGCTCAATATTTAAAATAGAGCTTTTGTTGTGGATTACTTGGGCTGGCCCTCGGCCTGCAGTGAGGTGCACTAGCACCCTAAGATTTAGCAGTAAGTGCCACCTGTGCCTCCTCGCAGGCTTGGGCAGGGGTAAGATGCCATCTTTGAACCTGGCGGACCTTCAGGTCTAGCAGACATGGGCAAGGGCTCTCTAACAAAGCTGCTTCACAGAAGCTGAAAGCAGAAAGCCAGTGTCTGCTGATGATAGGCTTTAAAAATGAATCAACACTCTCCAGTAGTATGAGTGCGGGCTGTGTCTGTGGCCCTGCTGCCCTTGGCAGTAGGCTGGGGTCTCTGTGGATGCGCCAAAATGATGAAGAGGTTTTAGGGGCAGAGGTAGGTCCTCGTTTTTAGGTCACGTGGAAGGTCTGTGTCTGTCTGCCGCACGTACAGCACTGGTGGTAACGGTGCAGGGATGTCTTGCAGTGGGTGACCCCACGACTGTGGGGCTAGCTCATTCTGGAGGCCTGCCAGCTCTCACAGGCTGCTTCACAGTTGCCAGCCTGGTGCCCTGACACTCCTTCCTGACTTCCCTCCTGACTGCTCCCACCCGACTGCTCCCCACTGTGTCCCTGGATACCTCCAAACGCATGCTCCTAGCCCAGTCTTCTCTCTTCTTTAGTCTTTTCCTGAACATATTTTGAATCTCTCCTGGTATATTCAGATGCCCAAATAGGCTTTTTGTGTAGTCTTATTTTGGTGTTCTGGGTTCAAATTCTGGGACTCACATTTGCCGGGCAGGCATTCTACCTCTTGAGTCACATCCCAGCCCTCTTTTCTGTTCGTTATTTTTTTGAATTGAGTCTGACAATCTTTACTCAGAGTTGGCTTAGATCACAGTCCTTCTGCTTATAGCCGCCCACATAGCTACAGTAGCAGGTATGTACTACCATACTTGGTTTGTTGAGATTAGGTCTCATGCCTTTTTCACCCTGGTTGCCTCAAACTGCAGTCATTTGGACCTCCACCTCTCAAGTAGCTGGGCTTGCAAGTATGTGCCACCATGCCTGGCTCTGGTTTCGTGCCTCTGAGATGAGAGGGTCTCCAGGGCTTCTTCCAAACTCCTGTGGGCCTAAGTAATCCTCCCCCGTCGCTTCCAGGTGCGGGACTTCAAGGGCATCGGATCTGGCTCTAACCACCTCATCATAGTCGTCAGACCTTTGTCCCCTCTACCAGCATTGTTGATAGAAGGACTGTCTCTCCACCTTCCATTGTAATACGGTTGCAGGGTTTCTACATTTTGGAGACCTGTTTTATATATTACATTTTAAAGCATGAGCTAAAACCCTGCACGTGCATTTTGACCTAGGTATTAAAAGGTGCTTTATTCTTCATTTCCCTGCCCCCCTTTTCCCAATTAGCGGATGACTTCTTACTGAATAAGCCAGTTGGAGATCTTGTTTGTTTAACAATGAGTGCTCCAAGTCCTGAGCTATGCTTTCTGTCAGTGCCAGCACTACCTAAGCCTGTTTTCTGCAATAGGAATTCATGAAGAAACTGGAAGAGAAACGAGCTGAGCTCGGCAAAGCCACCAGCATGGGCGACGCTGTCCTGGCCCTCTGCCACCCCGACTCCATCACCACCATCAAGCACTGGCTCACCATCATCCGGGCCAGGTTTGAGGAGGTGTGTGTGTCTCCAGGGAGCCCACAGGAGCAGGGGTGTTTGGGGAAATTCAGCTAGTGAGGCGCACACCCTGCGGATGTGGGAAATGAGGCTCTGCGGAAGACATGCTTTTTCAAACCCTCCTGGCTGCAGTCTCTGAAGTTCTTCAAAAGAGGGAGGCGTCGGCACTCTTCCCTGGGGACTTTCAGGGGTCTCTGGGCCACAGCCCACAGCCCTGGCCGGTGCATATGCGTGTGTGTGTGTGTGTGTGTGTGTGTGTGTGGCATAGTTGTGGAATTCACAGTGTGAATGAACTATTTAAGGTTGCAACTGCTCCACTTGGCACTGCGCTGTGTGGAGCAGGCACCCCCCATCCCTCAGAGCCGAGTGAGCTGAACACAGAGTGCCAGGGGAAGCCTTTACCCCAATAGTGACGGCCGTCCCGGACTGCCTTAGTCCTCATATGCCGGGTCTCCTGGCCAAAAACGGGACAGAGAAAAGCCAGAAGCACAGCCGGTCTATGCAGGCCAGCCATAATGTGCATTTTGCACTGTGTGTCTCGTGACAACACGCTTATGTCTACGTTGGAAGAAGTTCTCAGCACGTGGTGTTTCTGCTACAGGTGCTGGCCTGGGCAAAGCAGCACCAGCAGCGGCTGGCAGGCGCCCTGGCCGGGCTCATCGCTAAACAGGAGCTGCTAGAGGCGCTGCTGGCCTGGCTGCAGTGGGCCGAGACCACACTCAGTGACAAGGACAAAGAGATCGTCCCTCAGGAGATCGAGGAGGTGAAGGCACTCATCGCTGAGCACCAGGTAACGTGGCTTGCACCTAGCCTGAGTCCCATGGACTCTGACACTGTCTTCCTCAGAAGATGCTGAGTGGGTTTTCTTTCTTCCCTCTCCTCCCCCTCTTCTTCCTCCTTCTCTTCCTCCTCTTCCCCTTTCCTCCTCTCCCTCCTACACACTCCCCAACTCTGGTATCTGGAGTTCTAATTCTACAGCTTCCCTAAAGCTTGTCTCTTCCTTCTGTGGCCTTCAAGTCTCTTCCCTCCTTTGCTGTCTGTGAAGCTCAAGTCAGATGATGCAGTCTCACGTGAGCTCTTGGACTGCCTCATGCCTCCTAAATGAGCTCTCTAGTCCTTACGCCTCCATTCCAGCCTCAGCGCTCTATTGCATTCACACATGTACACACACTCACACTTGCACTCACACACACGTGTACGCACATGTGCACGCACACACACTGTCCTCAATCCCATGAATCCTTCTGGTCCTTGTTTCATTGTTTCATGTTCATTTCTCATGGGTCTTCCAAGATGACTGGACATCCAGATAGCACATGTATCCTATCTAAAAGGAAATGAATGAATGTCTTTCTCAGAAAAATGACTTCCCCATAAATCCTACTTGCTTTAAGCTCTAAAGCAAGTGGCATCACACACTGACCCGAGTGTGCTCACAAAAAGGAACATTCATGTGAGCCTCCTGGTGAAGCGGTTAGCACTGCCATGGTTAGAGTTTAATAAAGCGTCTGACAGGGTATTGATGTCTGGAGTGGTGTTGTGTCTCTGCCCAAGTCCTTCCCAATCAGTTACTGAAGTGGCAGCGTTTTCCACTGATCTGCTCTGGTCTGCCCTTAATTCATTGACACTAGTCTTCTCATTGTAGATGTTCATGGAAGAAATGACGAGAAAACAGCCTGATGTTGACAAAGTCACGAAGACGTACAAGCGGAGAGCAGCCGGACCTTCCTCCTTGCAGTCCCACATCCCTGTCTTGGAGAAGGGACGGGCAGCAAGTAAGCCAGATGTTGACACGGAGGCCATGGCCTTTGCCTTTTTCTTTTGGGTTACCATTAGTTGTTTGGGGCCATCAGTGGTGCTGCACAAGCACTCTAGCCAAAGCTTCCTCTCTGAAGGAATTCATAGGCTGAAGTGTACTATAGAAGCGCATGTGCAAATAAAGGAAATGCCCCGTCCACGATTCTGTATTTAATGCTGCTTGCTTGAAGTGGATCTTTCATATCAGATAGAAGAAACTGGAAAGTCACCCACCAAAGGCGCTTGCCTTCTTCTGTTGTGTGATAGTGTGAGTGCCGTGGCTCTGGTTCCCCTGACGACCAGGGTTCGCAGCCTGCATGCTCGTCGTTCTTCACTCTTGTTACTGTTTCTGAGGCAGTCTGTGCAACTAAGTAGCCTTAAAATAACAATCGTTAACTCCGAATAGCTTAAAGCACCATTGACTTTGTGCATTGTGTGTACTGCGCATTACATGTTGGCAGTACTTTCCACTTGAGGGACAGCCCCAGTCTTCTTGACTTTTTATTTGTTTTTCAGGGAGAGTCGCATGCTTTTCCCTTGCCCAGCCTCAGATCACAATCCTTTTAACCTCACCTCCTGGCCTGCTAGGATTACAGGCCTACAACACAGTGCCCAGCCCCATTTTGCGTATTTTTGGATAGTCTCTTTTTACATGGGTCACTGAGCTGTCGTAGTTTGTGTATTACCTGAGGTGAGAACACGAGAGCGAACCCTGTGTCCTCACCGCTCGCCAGCCCAGAAGCAGTTGCACAAGTTACTTCCGCTCTGCTAAGCCTCATTTCTCACTGGATGTAGTGAGAGCTAAGTGAGCTGGTGCTTTGTGTACTTGTCAGGCATTGGTTATGTGCTCAGAAGTTACTGGCTAGCCCCAGTCTGGACGTTACATCCTGAATCGCCTTACCATAGTACTTTTCTAGGCCATATTTAACCATTCAGTAAGATGAGGACAACTGTGCTTGAAGGTAAAAGAAACTTGTGAAAAAGGAGCCAGATGAGAGACAAAGTGTACTCCCTGGCATTGGTACAGGACACAGACCCGTGGAAAAGGTCCGGGATGGCCTCACAGCGTAGCTTGCTTGACTTGTCCCTGGCGCGTACCTGCTCTGAAGAAGGGAAGCTGGCTTTGCTGGAACTGATTCTCTCACTTGCTGGGGGATTTCCTTAGCATGCCTGTACCAAGAGGAGGCTCAGAGGGCACAACACAGTCCCTGAAATGCCTGCACTTTAAGCAGGAACATGTATTGAGTGAGCTGTCCATACACGCATGCCCTCTGCAGGTCTGTTTCTGTCCCTTGAACGCGCAGCCCGCGCGGGCCCTGTGCGCTCACCCAGCCCCTCCGTTAGACTTCCTGTTTGCATGATAATGACGCCTGCACATGCCACAGTGCCCGCAGCTTCACCATCCTGATCAGAGTTGTGTCTTAACAGGAAAACGCTTGGCCGCATCAAGCTTCTACCCCTCGGCATCGCAGACCCCGATCGAAACCAAGAATCCCCGAGTGAACTTGCTGGTGAGCAAGTGGCAGCAGGTCTGGCTCCTGGCCCTGGAACGGAGGAGGAAGCTCAACGATGCCCTGGACAGGCTAGAGGAGGTTTGTGTTCTCTGCCTCCACCCTCACGCAGCCACGCCCACCAGGGTTTACCTGCTCTCATATCAGCAGACGAGCCCTCAGCTGTGTTTGTCTCCTAACTGAAAGCTAAGAAGATAGACGTCACTATAGCATTAGAAGGCTATGTGAGATAAAGCTATGTGAGATTTGGATTTAGAGAATCAATAAAGTAAGACTTTTACTTTTTTTTTTTTCTTTTTGGTGGTTCCAGAGCTTGAACTCAGGATCTCGCGCTTCATAGGCAGGCTCTCTGCCACTTGAGTTGTGCCTTTTTTCCCCCTGATTATTTTTGAGATAGGCATTCCTGGTCTGCAGTCCTCCTGTTTTTTATTTTCCATTGTAAGTGGTTTAACAAGCCTGTACCACCATGCTTTTTCTGTTGAGATTGTTTCTCACAAACTTTGTCCAGATGGCCCTGGAAGCACAGAGCTCGCGATCGCAGCCTCCCCCGTGGCTGGGACGAGAGGCGCGCACCGCACCACACCACCACTGGTTAAAATGGACACGTTCACACTTTTGCCTCCTGATCATCCCCACTTCCTGCGTGATCTCAGATATGAGTCACCACACTCAGCTAAAATGTTTACATGTTAACTAACTCCTTAAAGAAGAAAAGGAAACAGAAACAATAGCCCTGTACCTGGCATGTGTCTATACCAACTGGCCAAGGTAACTGTATATGATTCAGATCTTTTAATAACATGCACTCTGACTGGAGATTTGGCATTCTGGAGTTTGGAATTGGGAATGCGTTGGACGTGTAGGCCAGTTAGGAGATGGCTCATAGGGGAGAGCGGGTGAGGCCCAGGCTCGTTAGAAGCTGGGCCTGGCCCTGGCCTTTTGTTGAACATAGGGCTGTTGCTGTGTCTTTGGGCCAGGCCACCTTTGTGACTTTGCTGCTGGGAGAGGTTTTCAGTTGTAGTTGAAAGGACTTGGTTCATGCAGAAGAGTCAGGGCCTGCCTGTGGAGTCCCACAGCAGCGATCATCGGATGGCGTGGAGTGCCATGCCAGCTTGGCACTAACCCACCACAATGCTCTGTGCCCTTTTTTAGCTGAGAGAATTTGCCAACTTTGATTTTGATATCTGGCGGAAAAAATACATGCGGTGGATGAACCACAAGAAATCTCGAGTGATGGATTTCTTCCGGAGAATCGACAAAGACCAGGATGGGAAGATCACGCGGCAGGAGTTCATTGATGGGATCCTCGCCTCAAGTAGGGCCTGTTTCAAAGAAAACAAGCGTAGTGTAAAGCTCTCCTGTTACTTGGAACGGGCTGGGAAGTCACTACCTCAACCAAACAGTGTGCTTGAGGACATTCCCACCTCTGGTCAGGTGCCTGCCCCAAGCTGTGTCCTCATCCGCCTAACAGAGGTGGTGATATGTGTTAGCTGGTGTATAGCAGGAAACAAACACCTGTCCCTTTATCTTCCTAATGTAAATTCCCACAGTAAGCCTCGGGAGCCCCGAGCCACCCTCTTGTTTGACTGTCCTGTCCGTTGGAGCACGATTTCTCTGACAGATGCTACTAGAAGTCCTTGATTTCCTATCAACTTTTCTTTAAATGGACTAGTTGTTGAGCCCTGTGGAGTTTTCAGCCTACGAAAGCCAGAATTTTCTTATACTCCACCCTAGAAATGAAAGATAAACTTGAATCATGTATATAGATGTTGATTTTTTAGGATGCAAATCCACTTTTCAGAGAAGAATTTTGACACTCTTGATCAGCCTGAGGGTGAATGCCTGGTCAGGAATACAAGGGTACGGGGAGCAGTCTGCCTACTTCCCAGTCCTTACTCCTCTTGTGCAAATTTTAGAATTCCCCACCAGCCGACTGGAGATGAGCGCAGTTGCAGACATCTTTGACCGTGATGGGGATGGGTACATTGACTACTACGAGTTCGTGGCTGCCCTGCACCCAAATAAAGATGCATACAAGCCCATCACAGACGCTGACAAAATCGAGGATGAGGTACTTGCTGCCCACGGTTCTTCAGCTCGACCCACATGTCTCACAGTTCCTGTCTTACTTAATTCCACATGGGTGGTTGTATCAAAGCTGTGAGGTACCACTGCAGAAGGCAAATATTACAGTAAACATTTCCCCATTGATTTTTTTTCAGGTCACGAGGCAGGTGGCTAAGTGTAAGTGTGCAAAACGATTTCAAGTTGAACAGATTGGGGACAACAAGTACAGGGTAAGCTTTCAAAATGACCTTGTTCCTTTCAAGGCTGTGCGCTGACATTTACATACAGTTTCATCTGGGTTGTTTTCCAAGAATCCTAATGTTTTTACCTCATTTCGAAATGTAATGGGCTGTGAGGCTCCAGCTTATATGGGGAGGCAGCTTAGGTCTTGTGTATTAGAACATAGCTTGGATGCTTGCCACTTGCAGCAACTGTTGAGAGAAACGTTCACAGCAAAGCCCACACATCTCGCATGCATCCAGTCACCTTGCACTTTGTTGTGATGAGAGGTAGGTCTTGATTTGAACAGCAGAGCTGCTCCAAACCAAAACCACGCCATTAAGATGTGTGGGCTCTTCCTCTCACAGAGGAGGCAGAGAGGCAGTATTTCCCACTCGGGCAGTCACTCTTTGCTTTTCTTCAACACCTGAATTAATGGGGTCCACCTTCAAAACAAGAAAGACTAGGAATTTGACTTTTTTCTACTTTTAATGCTAAAAATATTTCTGCATATTTTAACTTGGGTTTGAAATCCTAAGATTTTATAACACGTGCACATAAACTCTTTGGAAAATTATTGAAGGACTTGATTATTACACATGCCTAATATAGATTCTCATCTGAAGCCCAGCATGTATGTGTGTGTGCACGTGTGTGTGTGTGTGTGTGTGTGTGTGTGTGTGCGTGCTCAGCTGTGTCAAACACTTCCTCATGAACTAATTATGTCTTTCTTCAATTTTTCATTTTTTTATCAGTTCTTCCTGGGAAATCAGGTATAAACTGGTGGATTGTATTCTCAAGTTCCTATGTTTTTTTAAACTTTAGCTCATAGTCATTAAAGCTTGCCAAGGCCAATCTCCCCAGGCTGCTGCTCGCTGCTCACTGTTGGTTGCTGTGGTGTTTCTGTAATTGCTCCAGGGTCCTGAATCCAGGACTCCTCTGCTTTGTGCCTCTGGCGAGGAGATTACTTTTATGGGAACCAGACAATCCATAGCACTTAGCTGGCTACAATGAAATAGTGCAGTGTTTGATGACATTATGAGCATCTGTTTTGTGCAGAGATCATTGATTCTCCACACAGCTCTGTGTCTGTTTAGGACATACGGCACATGGTAGCTGACCAGGGTCACGTAGCTCAGGAACGTGGGAGAAGAGTGCTGCAGAGTCTTGTGACAGTGGGGGCTCTGGACCGGGCCTGGGCTCTGAGCCGCCAGCCTGGGCTTTTCATCTGTGCAGTGGCAGTGCCACCTCGGTGTCATTCCTTTTGAGGAAAGGGACTGCACACAGTGTGTACAAAATCTTCTACAGTTGTTGCCGAATATCTATTTTGGTGCTTATGTCCATGTGGGCTGCTGGTGGCACTGCAGCCTGGTCAGAATTTTAAAAGTAAAACACAAAATTATATGCCGATTTCACCATATCCAAGGAGAAGATTTTTGACTGTAATCTTTTATTAGAAGCTTATATACATAGAGAAAGAGAGATAGATATAGATAGAAATATACACATGCACACATAGGATTTGTTATTTTTCTGCCACTGCAGTTTAGCTGTTATTACATCTTAAGTTTCAAATTCTCCATTTTCTTGCAAGCAAATGATGTATTTAAAATAGAAATAGTCCATTACCTTGAATGATTTTTTCCCCAAGAAATTCATGGAGCCCAGTGGAGTGATACGATCCCTGCATTCGGTGTATAAGGATCAGATTGATCAAATCCCGTTAGTTACAACACTACAATAAAGGGTTGCTCTTCTTGTTATTTTTGTAGTGAGCAAATAAATGGCATCTTCCTCAGTCTGGAATTGTATTGAGAATAACAGAAATGCCTCCAAAGAGCGCATTTACTGAGAAGTCAAAGAACAGCATTTAACCTGTATGCTCTCATTTCAGTTTGGCTGTTAGAAAAACTAGAGACTTTCTAAAGTCAGTGTTGTCTGGAGAATTTATTTCTAAAATGACATTTAAAATTATTCATATTTAGCAGAATTATTAAATAGATCTGTAAGACAGCTTTGGTTATTTCCTTAAAACTTTTAATTTTAGACCTAATTATCTGTCCAGTTATCTGGTTCCTTAAGAGTAATTTTCTTTCAGCCCCTTCCTTTCCCATTGCTTACTAGCAGCACCAAATTTTTTTCTAATAAAACCAAGTTACATTTTGGTTTTTGAATCTACATCTGAAGAATGGTCCCACTTATTGGCACTTAGGTCCATCTTTAAAAAACAAGCTTATATGCTGGGTGCTGGTAGCTCACGCCTGTAATCCTAGCTACTTAGGAGGCTGAGATCTGAGGATCTCAGTTCAAAGCCAGCCCAGGCATGAAAGTCCGTGAAACTCTTATCTCCAATAACCCACCAGAAAACTGGAAGTGGCGCTGTAGCTCAGTGGTAGAGCGCTCACCTTGAGCTGAAGAGCTGAGGGACAGCGCTCAGGCCCACAGTTCAAGCCCCATAACCGACAAAAAAAAAAAAAAAAGCAAGCTTATAAATAGAGGCTCCCAGAGGTGTTTTTCTACAACCTGCAGCCTCCTGTCCATTTTACTTACATCTCCCATGGCCCAGGGCTAAAGCTTTCTGAAAAGTAACCAAGTGACTCTTCTGAAAGTATTTATCTCACTATGGCAAGCCAGACAAACAACCAGAAGCACAATTCTGTTTTCCCTAATTTATAAAGGAAGTCATTTGTGTTGATTACCTGGTCCTTTTGCTCTTTTATTGGCTAGGTTAGCAACTATGAAATTAGTTTGATGGCTTTCTGAAGTTAGACAAAAGCCTATTAGAACTGATTTCAGGGTATAAAGTCAATTCTCCTGGGCTTTCAACAAGCCTCGTACCAGAACTACCTGTAGATTCCACTGCGTCCACTCAGGACTTGTGAAATCCGGGGCTCATCCAATGACTGGAAGCTTCTGCAGGGTGAGAGGGCACCCTGCCATCATGGATACACTGCTCTGGGAAGCTGAGCTCGGTCTGAAAGCTGTCTCCTTAGCAATCTGCCCACAGCAGCTGCAGTATCATCTGAAATATCTGAAAGCCAGCCTTCTACCAACTGGGCTACCAGACTTTAGGGATGCAGAAATCTTAGTCATGTGTGAAAGTGATTTTTGTTTCATAAGTCAAACCTTTCTTGCGGAAAACAAAATGAGCTCACTAAGATTTCTCTCACAGATATAAGAGGAAAATAGTGTTCATGTAAGTGGACCAGGAATCACTAAATTTTCCCTGGAGTCATCTTCCTGTGTAAAAGCTCTGGTCAGGTGGCCAAGGCTTCATGGCTGTGTATGATTTGTAAAAGCGTTTTTAATCACTGCCTTGCTCTGGTTGTTTCCATTGCGAGAAAGAAAAAAATCCTTTTTAGGACAAAGCCTCATTACTACAACTTGACAATAACCTTTGTGATCATTTTTTTCCCAAACTGTTTCCTTTGGGCTAAATCAGCATGGGGCCGCCTAACGCAGTCCATCTCAAAGCCCTTCCTGAGATTGCACTAATGCTGTGGGCTAAGCAAGGCCTCCAAGGGCGGTTCAAGCTCCTGCCGACTCCACCCCCCCCCCCCCCGGCTGGGCGTTCGGGTGAGCATGGCAGCCTCCCTCTCTCTCTCTCCCTCCCTCCACTGCAGTTTGGAGATTCCCAGCAGCTGCGACTGGTGCGGATCCTGCGGAGCACCGTGATGGTTCGTGTTGGAGGCGGGTGGATGGCGCTGGACGAGTTCTTGGTGAAAAATGACCCTTGCCGGGGTAAGGATCGGGCAGGGCAGCCTGGGGACCAAGAACGCCCTGTGGGTCTTCTGTTCTTCAGCCTCACAGACACACCGGGCCAACGGGCATTCACTCTAAAAGTGAGGGAGCCTGACCCTGTGGTCTGCCAGGCTCGAGTTCCCAGAGAGCTGCGCAGTCAGGCAGAGCAAGCTCTGCTCGCGTTGAAATGCCCTCCGCGCCGCGCTCTAGCTCAGTGGCAGAGTGCCTGCCTGGCAAGCGCGACGTCCTGGCTTCCGTCCCCAGAGCCCACAAAACACACAGATGCCGTCACATCACTGCCAGGGTAAATTTGAGGAAGGAATTAAACTCAGTTTTTACTTTTGAAACCCTCCTGTCCGTAGTGTTCCAAACGAGCCCTTTACTCACCAGGAAAAGGTAGTGGCAAGTAGCAAGGAAGGAGGAAAGAAGATGGAGGGCAGGAAGATGGGAAAGGCTGGAGAGAAGGCTTTCCTGCTCTGGGACCCCGCATCAGGTCACCGAGTGCTCGATTGGTTTTCATGATGAAAGAGCATTTGATTGCAATTGGTTTTCATCATGAGAGCATTTGAAAGCAGTTTCTAACTAGGAACCTCTCCTCAGGAGGCGCTTCATTTTTGTCTCACTTTAAAAAACCAAAATGATGGATTTCCTCCCATCATCAGGGCTCAGCACATGGTGAGCTACCCAGGGGAGCCCGGGGCCAGCTCTGGACATCGGGACCCACAGTGTGTCAGATGAGCAGGCCCGGCTGCCCCAGCCCTCCACAGCTGAGGACAGACCTCAAAGAGAAGTAAAGTAGTAGGATCACATGCTCCCGTTCTAGTGGCCTTGTATCACTTATGGGTGGTGATAGGTGCCGTTAGACAATGTCACTGTCATGTAGACAAAGTGTGCTTACACAAACCTGCTACACCCCAGTCCACATGAAAAGTATGCTGGTGGGTGGATGGACAGACAGATAGATAGCCATGTGTATATAATCTCCTGGGCCTACAATGAATATTCAGTAATACCACAGAAAAGTACACAGGAGACTCTTGCAGCTAACCCAAGACCTAGGAGGCTGCCGCTGGCTGGGGAGGGCAGGAGGCTCTGCAGTGCTCGTTTTGTAGAAGTAGGAGCGCATTGATCCTGAAAAGCAATGAAGATGTAGTATGGCCAGTGCGTAAATGACGCTGCCTTTGTCCTTCTGCGTCCCAAGATGGGCGGGGGCGGGCCCCTGTCCTGAGTGGACAGGGGCCACCCCTGCACCTAGGCAGTAGTGCGCCCACGGTGCGTGTCTGGGGCGTCTGCACTCTGTGGGTCAGGCTTTGAGGATGGCTTTCCTGATTCCTCTGAAACTCCAGCTAAAGGCGGGGTCTGAGCTCCGTCTGTGTATTCAACTGCTGACTTTGTTTCTTCCTCTGCTGACTGTGTTCTTGAATGTGACTGCTGTCCTGTGTCATTTCTTCTAGTTCACCATCATGGGAGTAAAATGTTACGTTCGGAATCAAACTCTTCAATTACTACCACTCAGCCTGCTATAGGTTGGCAAGCTCTACCTCTGCCCCGCTCTCCTCTCTCCCCCGGACATTCTCGCTTTATCGTTTGTGTGACTTATTACGCCTCATTCATTGTGTATGGCTTAACTCCTGTCCCGCTGAGCTGGTGCTTCCACACCTGTGTTCGGAAAGCCCGACACACGTCCCGTGCACTGGCTGTGGGAGTGTCTAAGTGATCCAGCACGTGTGCACACGTTGCTCATCAGGTTCTCGTGGCGTGTTTTCGAGTGCACATGTGTGTGTGTGTGTGTGTGCACGGGCTGCACCACTGACAGCACATGAGCCCTGGGGTCTGGCGATGGTGATTGCATGCTGACAAAATGGTGTCTCAAGGCATAAAATTAAAAGACTAACTGCCTCCTTTCCTTGAAAAATCGGGAAGTTTCCGTGTGTCTCCATGACTAATGAGCCATTTCTCCTTCTGTTTAATTCTACTGTTGAACTAATCCCAGTGTTCTGTCTGATGCCCCTGCCCCCAGCCTCCAGGGTACATGCCAAAGACACCGCCCCCCCCAGCCTCCAGGGTACACGTTAAAGACACTGCCATCCCCCAGCCCCCAGGGTACATGCCAAAGACACCACCTGTCCCCTCCAGCCTCCAGAGAACACGCCAAAGACACCTCCTGTCCCCTCCAGCCTCTAGGGTACACGCCAAAGACACCGCCTGCCCCTGGCTGTTGTGGCTTAGAGTGGTGGAGGCGGTGGCATCCGTGCTGGCATGAGCGCTCCATCGTCATGCTGACTTTCTTTGCAGTGGTATTCTTGCTGGCGTCTAGTATTAGAATGAGCACTCCCGTCCCCTGCCCCCAGGCACAGTGTGGCACCAGAGAATGCATTGTGCAGGGATGCATTGGACTGTTCGGTGTGCTCCGGTGGAGTTAGCATGGCAAAAGGTGTTCTTGAACTCCCCAGTGTGATCTCTGATGCCAGGTGATGGGTCTCTCCATAAAGACTGAGCCCCTCTTTTTCTTCTTTGTGTGTGTGCGTGCGCATGTGTGTGTGTGTGTGTGTGTGTGTGTGTGTGCATATGTGTGTTCTAGCTAAAGGAAGGACCAACATGGAGCTGCGTGAGAAGTTCATCCTGGCAGACGGCGCCAGCCAGGGCATGGCCGCGTTCCGCCCTCGGGGGCGCAGGTCGCGGCCTTCGTCGCGGGGAGCCTCCCCCAACAGATCCACGTCGGTGTCCAGCCAGGCCGGGCAGGCAGCTTCCCCGCCAGCCCCCGCCACGAGCACGCCCAAGGTAGGGCTCCACGACAGACTCTCCTCGCCCGCGCCCCTGCGGGGCTGCTCAGGGTCCGCAGGCCTGCCTCTTCTCACGAGGTTTCCTTGTGTGCATGCTTTTGCCTCGTGACTCTACTGAGTGTCCCCGCCAGAACTCTGTTATCTTTCATATTCATTTTTTTTTAAACTCCATTTATTATTTTGCGTGTATGAGTTGTCATCGGACCTTCATACTCATTTTTAATGGTTATTATTCAGCCTGTGAAGTGGGACTCTGCTATGATTGTCTCTTGCTGTGGCTTTGGTTCTGACCTGCTCTCCTTTACATTTGATTTGCCATTGTTCCATGCAGATTCTCCATCCTTTAACACGCAATTATGGTAAACCATGGTTGACAAACAGCAAAATGTCAACTCCTTGTAAGCCAGCAGAGTGCTCAGACTTTGCCGTGTCATCTGCAGAGGTATCGTAAGGCCTGGACCCAGTCCTAACCTAAGTCCTCTCTGACTGAAAATAACACCCACTAACCCAGCCTCTCCACCGCCTTCCTCCACTCACCTCTGATAACCTTGAGTCTTTCTGTGGATGTCTATGGAATGGTTACCAACCAAGAAGCTCTTAGGGAGACACGAGCAAGGGGTTCCTGTGAGGCACACTGCTCCCTGATGCAGCCATACCTAATGGCTCTACACCTTTATTTTGGGTTCCCACTCATTCTTGTTTCTGCTTCTAGTTCTTAGAAGAACAAAGTACGGGAGATAATATCCCATCTCTATAGGAAGTTTTCTCTACAGCTAGAGGAATACTGTGCTAGCAGAAGGAATCTGGGCACTACCTCTATGTGGGTGTGGCAGGCAGGCGGATTCACCTGCAGGAGCTTCATCTAAATTGTGAGCTTTTGAGCGAGAGTTCCTGTGGGCCTGGTGCTCCTGAGTGTGTGCCTCCTTCGCCTCTGCCCACAGCCTGTGGCGTAACACAGCCACTGGATTCCCAGCAGAGAGCAGAGAGGGTGTGGAGCTGTGCAGAGTGGTGGGCTTGAGTACCTGGTATGTGTGAGTGTGCTGGCAGGCGGCAGGGTGCAGGGCACACCCTTCCAAAGCACCGTGCCTGCAACTGACTCCTCACAGTAGGAAGAGGAGACCGAGAAAGCTCCTCACCCCAAACCCTTGACTTTCAGCCAAGTGAGGAACATGCGTACCACAGAAATGCCTGCAAGGGACCGTGGCTCCGCTGCAGCAAAAAAGTCGAGACCAGTTTCAGGAACCTCAAGTGACTTGTTCACATCCATTTTAAATGCACAGGGCTAAGCCAGGCATGGCGGTGCCCACCTCTGATCTCAGCTGTGCAGAAACCATGGCAAAAAATTCAAGGCCCCATCTGAAAACTAATTATAGAGAGCAAAAGGGGCTGGAGGCATGGCTCAGAAGGCAAGGCATGTGCCTGGCGAGCACACAGAAGGGTATGTGCATATGTGTATGCGCACATGTGTGTGCATATGCACCACATACACATATTTATGACAGACTGTCGTAAAACTGGCAACTCCCCCATCCTACCGGGACTCATGCATAACTAGGTTTTGTTCTGAGTAACCTCATATAGTGAAAGTCACGCAAACGTGACAGCATCTGCTTGTATGGAAGGGTCTGTGGCTGGTGAGGCGTGGAGGGCTTGGACGTCCTAGGGGGGATTTCCTGAGTTCCAGCCCCTCCCTGGCTCCCCGCAGACTGCTGACAGTGTCAAGCCCGGGTTTAGCACTCAGCGCTGCGAGGCGGGCGGTCAGTCCCTTCCTGGGAAGTGTGTAAAACAGATAATGCACAGGGGAGGGAGAGGAAGCGCTGGGGTTGTGTGTGCATAAGCGGTCCAGAACACTTGGAGCGCTCGGCGTGTAAACCCCGCGCTCCTGTGCGTGTGTACAGCATGCAGGTGGGTGGACGATAGGAAGGGTCCAGTCGTGTGGACGCCAGTGGGTGTTTGCCGTGTCTCACACGTGCACTTGACCTGTCATAAGGGGAAATGTGCTTGTTTTCTTCAACATCATTGGCTGTAGTGAAGAATATGACTTCATGCATTTACTTTTTCACTTTGGTGGAATTTCCAAAACGTTGTCTGGAAAAGCAGTGACTTCACAATTTGCCGTCACTGTAAACGTTTTCCGTCAGAAGTGTTGCCTGTGGATCTTACATGAAAAGGCCATCCCAGATGACAGAGCCCGCGGGATGTGGCTAGGTGGTGGAGAGGCCCTGGGTCCGGCCCCTGCACCATTTCCAAACAAGCCAACAGTAAAAAGCGACGGGGTGCGGAGGCAGCGCGCACGCGTGGCCTCGGCCCGGCCTTCGCGTTGGGCTCGCTCACACGCAGAGTCCCAGTCAGCCTGTGTCTGTCTGTCTGGCTCTGCCTCCTGTGCAGGACGCCTGGCCTTGGGCACTGAGTCCCTCGCTCCCTGGTGCTGGCTGTCACCTGGAGATACTAATGCCCTTTCTGTTTTCCTCCCCATAACTTGGGGGGCGGCGGTGGTGAACCTCCATTTGTGTTTGCTCTTCAGCCTTGAATCCCACTTGCTTTCCGTTTCCTCGGGGCTCTGGGGTGAGGTACTGGGGAGGAGGCTGGGGAGCGCGCCCCTCCTGCCCCCCCACCCCTGCCGCAGCATCTGACGCGTGTCCTCGCTGTCACACAGGGCACCCCCATCCAGGGCAGCAAGCTGCGCCTGCCCGGGTACCTGTCAGGGAAGGGCTTCCACTCCGGGGACGACAGCGGCCTCCTCACCACCGCAGCCGCCAGGGTCCGGACGCAGTTTGCCGGTGAGTGTGGGGCCTTGGCAGTGGCGCTTGCAGCCCCGGTGGGTGTGGAGACTGCAGGCGTCCCCCCAGGGTGACAAGGCCAGCCCCAGCCCACCAGGAGGGGCATTCAGTGAGCTGCCAGACAGGTGACCACGACACCCTGCAGACAGGGCCGAGGAGAGCGGTCATAGGACAGGCCTGCAGCGCCCCACCCCACCCCTGCAGGCCTCTTCGGCCTTCTCCCAGCCCAGGAACCACCTGGCCCGGGCTGGGCCTTCCACGGGGTATGAGGCTCACGGCAGGGGCGGAGGGCGCTACGATGCAGTTCTCCCGATGCTATTGGTGTTGTGGGACACTTGCTGGGATGTCCCAGAGCGAGCTGCAGGTGGGTGAATAGCCACAGGACTCCTGCCTTCTCTTGACAGAGTCCAAGAAGACCCCCAGCCGGCCCGGCAGCCGCGCGGAAAGCAGAGCCGGAAGCAGGGCCGGCAGCCGCCGCGGCAGTGACGCCTCCGACTTTGACATTTCCGAGATCCAGTCCGCGTGCTCAGAGGCAGAGGCCACCCCCCCCACGCCCAGGCCTACGCCACGCGCCGGCCCCCGGCCCTCCAAGATCCCCACGCCCCAGAGGCGGCCGCCCGCCAGCAGACCGGACAAGGCCTCCAAGAGATAGTGCAGCCAGCCCCACCCCCAGCAATGATCACCGGAGTGTGAATGATGTAAAGTAGGGCGTAGAGATTACTGTGACATACTGCAAGAGGAGAGTTTAAAGTTCTGCAGACGGCCTTATTTGTGTATCTGTCTTTTTATTTGGTCTGCATCCCTCGTGGTCAGACGCACTGGGGTTCAAGTCACATCCTGTGTGACAGGAAGGGTGCGTGGAGCGGGCCACCCGCACAGCAGGTAAGTCTCGGCCTCCCCGACAGCCGCGACGCTGCGCCACGCTGCTCCGCAGGAAAGATACCTCAGGATGATTCCTCGTTTCTCTTGGAAATGCCAAAGTGTGGACAGAAAGACAACCAGGGATATCTTTTGAGATGACTTCAGTGTCGATCACGACACGTGCGCACTCGTGCCCGGCCGGCTGCCCATGTCCGTGCGGGCCCTGCCCTCCACCTCTGAAGCTATGCACAGCTCTCGTGTGCACGCGCGTGGCCGCGAGGTTGCTCTCGCTTGAATGGACAGTAGCACCTGGATCATGGAACTCACCTTGTAGTGAAGCAGTTTTGCTTGCAGAAAAACAAAAAGCTATGAAATAAAACATGTCCCTAACTACATTGCTATGGAATTAATTTTTCCCCCTGGGAAAATTGGTGTATTTTTTTATGAGCAGTATCAATTTGGAGAGACCAAAAGATACTTTAAAAATGGGTTTATTTTGATTTCTCATCTAAAATAATCATGTTCTGGTATTATATCTACCTATATTTAATAAATATATACATTTTAATTTATTATGTATACTCACATCCTATAGAAAGGTATCAGTATGCATTAATAAACATAGTCACTTGAACACGTGGCACAGCTGGTCATTTCGAGCGAGTGTGTCCATTGAGCTAACTCGTGGCAGGTCAGGCATCACATAGCTGGGCGTGGTGGCTCCGCCTGTAATACCAGCCGTCTGGGAGGCAGGGATGGGGCGTGTGGCTCCAGGCAGCCAAGGCAGGACGGCGTTCCTGAGACCTGTCTCCAGCACTGGCCGGACCAAACTCTGCTCCCATCACCTCAGAAACCCAGACGAGCCCGTCTAGGCATCTAGCAAGACCCTGTCTCAAAAAATAGCCGGTGCAAAGGGGTCTGGAGGCCTGGCTCGAGTGGTAGCGAGCCTGCTTAGCAAGCATGAGGCCCTAGGTTCAATCCCCTAACCTTCGCCCACAAGGAAGGAGTTGTCATGAAATCCTGCCACATGTTTGGTAAGTACTGGCTTGGGATCTGGGGGCTGTTGCTGCCAAGGCGGCTGGGCCCCAGGCTCGGGCCGTGAGAGGCAGCTCCTCACGCAGCTCGGTCACCACAGCCACACACAGATCCGAGGGTGACTGGCTGTATTAAGGGAATACGGAGCCCTGTTCTTTGTGATCAAATCATAGGATTTCCTAACTATGGAAGTGGCAGCAGCTGGAATTAGAAGGATGGGGGGTCGTTGCTCTGCGCGTGAAGGTCGCAGCACTGCCAAACAGGTGCAGATCGGCGAGCGGTGGCCGCCCAGGGTCCCGGGAACAAAACCTGGCTTTCCTGCTTGGCCGTTCGCAGAGTGACACGGATGAGCCTCGTTCCCACTGACCCAAGTTGATGCCATTTTTAAGCAAAACCAGGCCACTCTTTGTGCCAGGCCTCCTGGGGCCTTGCAGAGATGGTAACCCTAGCCGGGAGACCAGAGTGCCCAGCAGTATCAGCTGATGTCTGAGGAGCTATTGGATGGTCGCTGCTCAGAGCTTTGCTGGCAGATGGTCCTGTTTCCATGTCAAAGACCCGCTGAAGAGAAAGGTTTTGCCTTCCTCTGTTGGAAGACTACTCCAGTTAATGAAGACCCGTGGATTTCCTCTTTTGTGACAGCAGAAAAAGGTTTTTGAGAAAGGTGAAGTGGCGTGGGATACTCTGGTGCTTCTGAAGGCACTGTTCAGTTCTCAGCCCCCCCGGGGCCTGTGACGCTGGTGACTGTCAGCGTGCGGGGTCCTGAGCCAGCTGGCCTGCAAGAGAAATGCCTCACAGATAGGCCCCTTGTTGGCCTTGTTCTCAGTTTTTCACTTTTTTCCTTCCAACTGGTCTCATGCCTGTCATTTTAGCAACTCAGGCTAAGATCTGAGGATCACAGTTCAAGGTCAGACTGGGCAGAAAGGTCCACAAGTCTCTGATCTGCAATTACCCAGCAAAAAGCCAGAAGTAGAGTGTGGCTCAAGTGGTAGAGCATTAGCCTTGAGTACAAAAGCCCAGCAACAGCACCCAGATCCTGAGTTCCAGTCCCAGGATCCGCACAAAACAACAGAAAATAGGACATGTTGCCCAGGGCTGTGTTGTACTCCTGTAGTCCTGGCCACTCCTCATTAACTTGAATGTCTGAGGAGGAAAAATGGTTTGGGCCCTGGACTTCAAGATCAGGCTGAGCAACAAGGAAAAGTGCACCTCAAAGAAACCCCAAGTGACTTAGGACGAATCTCACCTCAACATCTTAACTGGGGAATTGACTCCCAAGTATTAAGACTCTTGAGTCATGGAGTGCATATTTTTGTCTTAAAACCAATTGCTATCCACTGCGGCCTTCTCTTAAAATGAAGGCACATCTCCTTGGCATCAGTGCAGAGAGCAGATCTGAGAACAGACTCCTTTTATGGCAAATACAAGTTGAATGGTTTGGAAGGCACCCTGGCTTTCCAGAGCTGACCTACAAAAAGTGGAAGGGGAGAGGAGGCAAGAAAGGCTCTTCTGGCCTTGCTATGGTTATTTCAAAACTCACGGGCTTGCTTGTGATGAGAAGCCACTTGCTGACAGTCTCTCAGTCTGCCGGGCTGTATAGTTCGGATAACAACGTTGAGTATTAGGCCACAATGACAAGAAAGATGGATGGAGAGAGGAAGTAAGGGGGGCGGGCAGCCATCGTTTTTGATGTGCATGTATGAACATGGAGCCAGGCCACGGGGGGGGGGGCAATGGAAGGGGTGACACCCATCAAGATGCAGTGTGCTCGTATGTTGCTACGCTGGAGTGAAACACTTTGTACAACTACTTGAAGATAAAGTGTATTTTTTAAAGAGGGACAACAGAAACATTCCCCCCACACTACTGCTATTGCTAATGGTGTGTTAAATTCAAAATATATGAATATATACAAAACCAAGTGTATTCAAAGACAACTTGCCTTTTGCTTCCTTTGTTTTTGTTTTTCAGGGCTGAGCGTGAACCCGTGGCCTGCAGATGCTCGGCAGGTGCTCAGCGACTCCCCTCCCCCCTCCCCGCCCCCAAGAAATCTTAGGCCGGTTTCCTCACATCTTCATTGCTGTCTGTTCCTGGAAATTGAAGACTGCACAGAGATGAGAATAAGAGGTAAGTTATCCCCAGATACAAACAGAACACAGGATGTTGCTGTTCTTGTTTTTTGTTTCATTTTCCTGGGCGGTCCTGGGGTTTGAACTCAAGGCCTGGGCACTGTCCCTGAGCTTTTGTGCTTAAGGCTAGCACTCTACCACGTGAGCCACACCTCTATTCTGGATCTTCCCTTGGTGCTTAGTTGAAGAGTCATTAGATGTGGCTCTGGGTGTGAGTTAATAGCGGGTGCCGTGCGGGTGACACTCAGGTGGGAAATGGGTGGTTCTGATTGTAATCATCCAGTCCCACGCCAGGTTTAAAAGTAAGCAGCTGGTGGGCTGTGGTCACCGAGGTTCAGCCTCCGGGGTGGGAGAGGAGCGGCAGATGGAGGAAGAGCACGGATCTGAAGCGCTGCCATCTTGATGTCCCAGGACGTGTCCGACCATGGGCTGACGGAGTAGTCTGCTGGGAGAGCCGCATCTTCCTCTCGTGCAGATGCTGACTTTTCTCGTCTGTCGTTTGGGTTCGAACGCTCTTGCCGTGGAGATCTTAGGCAGGTTCCCACCTGGTCACTGCGGTGGTGGATGAGTACTATTTGGATTTCCTGAGTCATCTCACCGAGGTGGGGAGGACTTTGTGTGTCTGGGCAGCACCGCTGGGGCAGGGAGGAGGCAGGGTTCGCGCGGAGCTCACGGCGCGGCTTGGGATGGTTGAAGTAGAAAGGATGTTAAGCGTTAACTGCTTTGCCTCAGACCTCGTGACTCAGCAAACCAAATTCATAAGGTCACTGCTTGTTTCGAAACCAAATAATTGGATGAAACATGAAGCGAGGGAAGATCAGTGTAGTTCTGGAAGAAATGACATTTCGAAGGAGCGTCTGCAGCTCGGTTAACGTGCGTGCTGCAGACGTACGGGCTTCCCGCGGGGGCTCGCATGCCCTGGAGACTGGCCCAGACTCCGAAACTTCCCGGAAGCACCGCACGTCACGCCGCTCATCCCCGTCCGCATTGCCAGAGGAATGTTGCTTTAAAACTCCACTTTCCTGAAGTTCTTAGAACCTCTGGAAATGAGCCGCCACACTCACAGCCCAGGGTCAGCTCCACGCCAGGGAGCGTGCTGCACGGACCCTCGAAGGCAGGAATCAGTGGGGGGTGTGAGAGCTTTGCTCACGGGCCTGTGGGACAGTGGAGAGGCGCGGGGGAGTTTGCACGATTCCAGCCCTCCGAGGATGGGCGCAGCGGGGACTGCTTGCCTCACTGGAGCGCACCTCGCCGGCTCTCGGGGTACCGCCCTGGCCTCTGGACGAGGTGAGGCTGCCCACCTCCTCCTTGCCTCCTCACTGGGGCGCTCGGGTGCTGCTGCGTGAAGACACTGGGTTAGAACTCTCAGAGCGGTTGTGACGTGCTGCCTGTGGAGCGCAGAGTGTCTCTCTTGCCACCATGCTGCGCTAGAGACTCGTCAGGGTTCACACACTGTGCCGACCTCTAGGGGTGGGGGGTCCTGCCAGGGCACGCGTGCGTTTTAAGCACTCCTTCTGCTCTGTGTGGCAGGAAAGGAACCTGGCATCGGTGGGCTTTGGCACCATGGGGGAGATGTCACTCAGTGTCCACCCGGCACTGGACACCAGCACCGTGGCAGATGGCAGGCCAGGGCTGCTGGAAGAATACCTTTGAGAACCGCCTGAGAAATAATTCAAAACTAACTAAAAGCTAACAAAATATAAAATGGAATACTGAAAAATACGTCTTTAATGAGGCAGAGGTTCTGCAGGATTAAAGGGACAAAAACCAAGTTGCAAATAGATACAAAAAGCAATACAGTAAACTTACATCCAAACTGTTCAGTAGTTCCGATGAATGCAGTTAGATTAAGCATTACTGTTGAGAAACCAAGAACACAGGTTGACTTTGAACAGCTATGTTGAATCTTTTCTGGTTATAAGAGAGGCAGCAAAGTTAGGACCCCAGCAGAGAGGCGGAGCTATGCCTTGCTACCTCTAGCAAAGCAGCCTGGGGAGCCGCTACCATGAAGGCCGCGTATGTCAGGGTGGAGAGTCAGACACACAAGGAGGGGAGTGGCACCAGGGTGCAACACCAGCTCAACAGAAACACAATGCTAAGAGTGTGCGTCCCATAACATGCTCTTAAAACAAAGAAGCGGGCACCCACAATCATCAAGATCAGTTTAAAATAGATCTCTCCAGAGCTGATTACATTTGCAAAAGAAAGTCAGCCTCTTCCACGTGCAGCTCC